GGGGGGGGGGGTAATGTCGCTGCTGCTGGTCATATTGATGGCAGTTCCCATTAAAGGCACTTTCTGATTTTGTCATTTTCATCATTAGGTAAGGAGAATAAGAATTTTTTAATTACCCTGATCTAGTGATTTTTGCTTAATGGAGTACTTTTAAAGTTAAAAAAACAAAAGCCTACCAATAATGCATAACAGTATATGAGAAAGCGGCTATGTCCCTTGTGATACACACAAGGAACTCTGATAGGTCGCAATACCTATCGGGGCCTGGTACACAGAATGGACATTAATCACGACGCTAGCAATAGGCTTCTAAAGAGCTTTCGCCTAGAAATCAAAAAGGCTGTGATACAAACAGTATGCGAGCCTAGGTACTATCTGCTGCGCTCGGTCTGGCAGCTGTAGCTGAAACCCCTAAATGTACTGTTTCTACCAGGCCTTCCCTTCTTATTAAGGCCCTGGATCCCCAAGAAGTAGGGCCAACTCATCCATTAGGCATGGTAGGCACAGCACTTCGGACCCATGGTAATTTTAGGGGTCCAGGAAAATGTCTTAAGTTCTTCTAAAATCAAAAGAAAAATATCAGTTTTTATTTTTATTTCTCTTTTTTTAATCCTCAACCAAGGATATTTTTTCCATTGCTTTTCAGAGAGAGAGTGGGAGAGAGAGAGAAACATCGATGTGAAACAGACAGGTCAACTGGTTGCCTCCCGCACGTGCCCCGACTGGGGCCGGGGATCGAGCCTGCAACCAAGGTACGTGCCTTTAGCCAGAATCAAACCTGGGGCCCTTCAGTCCGCAGGCCGAGGCTCTAACCACTGAACAAAACTGGCCAGGGCAAAATATTAGTTTTTAGGTTAAAAACAAGTTTTACTATTGTATTAATATGTTTGTCTTATACCAACTCAGTCATAAAATATGTTTAATATTTTTTATAGACAAAGCAGCCCACAAAAATCATAATGGGCCCCTGCGCCCCTCTCTCACTTGCTGTCCCCAGGAGCTCCAAAGCTTCCAGTCTGATGGCCCAGGCCAAGTCAGTGTAGAAATGGACGCTGCCCCAGGAGTGGACCTCACCAGGCTACTCAACAACATGAGGGCACAGTATGAAGCCATCGCTGAGCAGAACCGTAACGATGTAAAAGCCTGGTTCACTGAAAAGGTACCACTAACAAAAACAAAACTCTTTATCTGATACATTGGCAGAAAAGACCTGTCAAGGCAGCGCTCACTCCTGTCCCCCTGTTCCTCTTTTCTGTGGCAGAGCAGGGAGCTCAAGAAGGAGATCAGCACCAATACTGAGCAGCTTCAGTCCAACAAGAGCGAGATCACCAACTTGAGACGCGCCTTTCAAAACCTGGAGATCGAGCTCCAGGCCCAGCTCGCCATGGTAGGGCCCACGCAAAAAGACCCAGCATCATTTCAACTTCCAGAGAAAATACTGTGTCCAAATTATGCTAGGCCATTGGCTGCCTTCCTCGTTGCAGTCCCTTCCAATGTTGTCTGTGCCATTTCTCTCCCATGTGCAGAAGAAATCCCTGGAGGACTCCTTGGCCCAAACCCAGGGTGACTACTGTGGCCAGCTGTCCCATGTGCAACAGCTCATCTGCAACCTGGAGGAGCAACTGCTCCTGGTGCGAGTGGACACTGAGCGCCAGAACGCTGACCACCAGCAGCTGCTGAATGTCAGGGCCCACCTGGAGCTGGAGATCGAGACCTACTGCCGCCTGCTGGACAGCGAGGCCCGAGGGTGAATAGATAACTGAGGTTGAAATAACTGAGGTTGACCAACATGGTGGTACACCTGATGCAGTTTAACGGGGCAATAGGAGAAAGGGTTCCTTAGCTGACAAAAAAAATAACAAATCTAATAAAAACACACCTTGGATTTATTAAGCGCTTTACACTGTGCAAAGTGGTGTCACCCATTTCTTACTTGGTAATAGTTCATAAAATGCCGAGATGAGCAATGGCACCACAGACGGAGGCATACTGCAAAGGAGCACTAGAAAAATCAGCCATTCGAGTCCTAATATCAACCTCCTGATACTAAGAATGATCTTTCAAATAACAGTCACCTGAGCCACCTCAGACCTACTGTAGCAAACTTTCCAGAGTAATAGGAGCTTGGCCTAGTGGGAAGAACTCAGGAGTATAAGTCAGAAAATCCAACTTTTGAGACCAGATCTTTCATTAATTGCAGCTTTGCTGCACCTTGAGGTCCCGGTTTTGGAGGGGTTTGAAAATAAAGGTGCACTGCACAGAGTGATTACCCTCAGGATGGATCCTTCAAGCACTCTTTTATTTTTTCAGTTATAATACTAGGACATTGCTCCTTTTTTTCTTAGTCAATTGAGTTTTTAATTTAAATTTTATTTTTCAATTAGTTTACATTCAATATTAATTTGTACTTATTCCAGGCATACAGCATAGTGGTTAGACAATCACACTTTATAAAGTGTTCCCCCTGATGTTTCCAGTAACTACCTGGCACTGTACATAGTTATTGCAATATTATCAATCAATCATTCTTGATCAAGAAACTTGGAATACCGTCCTTAACTGACCATAGTTTTGTGTATATTTCTAATTTTTAGCTCAAATAGCAAACTCCTTATTTCTCCTCACTCCAGAAAGCATGATGTGGTATCATCTCCCTCATTTAGTGATGGTCTAGATGAAACTTCGTCTGTGACAGACTCCAAATCTCAAGCACAATCCACTGATTCCTCTAAAGGTATGCAGATTCCCTAAGAATCACTTAGAATAAGTCAGAATCACATTTATTAATGAATAAAACTATAAGATCACATTGAATATTGCAGTATTATTAGTAATTTAAAGCATACTTATATTGAGCCAAGGAAAATCATTTATGCATCCCTGCAGAAAAATTAGTAGTCTGTACTAGATTAAAACTTTTGGCAAACTCGGGAAGAAAAAAATCCACTCTGCAAAGAGGTATTATGAACATCATAACTACTACTTATGTGCTTAAACATATTCTCATTTGTGCATAAAATAACATTGAATACACTTCATTTTCATTGAATACATTTTTTAGAATGCAAAAGTCACTTTTCAAAGTTTAAATATGATGGGTTGTATCAACCAATACCTAATTTATAAGGTTAAGCTAAACAACAACCAATTTTGGATGAATATTTGAAACGCTAACTTTTGTTCCCCCCTTGTTCCATCTTTATTTTTAGACACTACCAAAACTCAAAAAGTGAAGACAATCATCCAGACTGTGGTGACCGATGAGGTCGTCACATCCCAAGTTCAGGAACTTGAAGAACTAATGTAAAATTTCACAAGATCTTCCCCATGATGATTGCTTCCTTAGGAACAAGAAATTTACAAGTAGAAACTATTCCTTTCAGAGTGAGATGCTGTATTGGTTCAAGCTCAGTTTTTGTCTGCTTCCTTTTCTTAGGATTCCTACTCACTTGGAGTCCTTTTCGCCCTTCTGAAACAATATTCGACTATGAATCACTGTGGCCGTGTTGGCCTTTATAACAAACCAAAATTGCCTTTTATCTTTCTGGAGCTGGAGCAGTCTTTTGATAAACTGTCTTCTAGCAACCTGGAACATGCTTTTAACCACAGGGCTTTGGCCAAGTAGTCTTGTTTTAATAAAGTTAATTTTAAAAGACAAATGGTAATAATGTGAAATCTGTACCTTCTGGATTCCAACAATAATGTCAAGGGCATAGAGAGAGGTTTGCAAAATACTAATAAGTAGTTAAACACTGGGATAAAAATGTCAAGGTCTGAGATTCAGTTAAGAACTTCCTTTTTGAAGTCCTTTCTTTTTTACATTAGCCCATCAAGTTTACAGCAAATTTATATTGTCCACTACAGGGCCTAACAGTTGTCTTATTAATTTTCTAGGGCATTCTTTCATTCAGTCAAGAAACACTTATTGAACCCCTCCAGTTGCCAGCCTGGAGACTCTTCCAGGAATGGTGAGACAGTGAGACAGGGCAAACAGAAGTTCAAAGGGCATGTGGAGAAGAAAGTAAACAATATCTCAGGGGGCCACTAAATATTTCATACAGAAATCAGCCAGAGAAAGCAGAATGGGATGAGAGGAAACACACTGTACACAGGGGTGTGAACAAATATTGCTGTGATGTCCTCTCTCCTACCTGATACTGGTGACGCCAAGGCTGGGGCTTCTACTGGGGTGGGTCAGACTCATAAGTCAATAACAGATGTCAGGTTCTGGGTTGGAGCAGGTGGCCAAAGTCTAAACCTGAGTAGATGGTGGTTCAGTCTGCATTGACAGATTCAGAACCGTAAAAGGAAAGCAAGGATTTAATGACTAAGAACCTGGGCCCTGAAGCCAGACTGGGGTCAAATTCTGGCTCCGGTACATAACAGCAAGTAACAACCGCTGTGTGCCTTGCTTTCCTGATCTTTATTTAAAGTAGGGTGGATTTTGTGAAGGTTAAATGAGGTAATAACACACATAAAAACATGAGGAACAGTCCCTGGTGCCTAACAAGTACTCAGTATTTGTGTCCTGTTATTTACTGTACGGAATCAAAACGGTGTGGAGGAATCAGGGGCACTGATGAGCAAGGAGTGTAAACAGGAGCAGAAGGGACAGGGGGGATTCATGCAAGCCTGGAGGAATTCCAGCGCTGAGTGCAAAAGCCCGGGGAAGGTTATTATGCCATTTTAAGATGATTTTGTTCAGTACACAGCTTTCTGAGATCACACTTCCTTTTTAGTGGTTTCATCTCCCTTGGATACACACAGCAATTCAATTATCTGTCTAGCCCTCGCCTTCCAGAACATGTCCTAGGAGAACCTTATCTTTCAGACCCAAAGAGATTACCAGGGTCTTTTCCTGAACAAGGTCCATAGCCCACAAGTAATAAATCATGTCAGAAGTGGCTGCAAATAGTTATTGCTTTAAATGTTATCTGTTCACCTTACAACTACATCTGAACTGTGCGAGATTCAAAGGAGAAAAGGGTTTTGCACAAGTATTAACCTGGTGGTGATTTCTTAGCTTTCATTTAGCTCCTCGGCATCCCCTTCTTGTGGAAATATTTTCTCCACTGAGCTCCCAGAGACATCATCTCAATGGAAGCTTTTTCTCAGACTCTTCTTTGTGGCCTCTGATGCTGGCTCAATCCTCTTGTCTCCTCTCTCTACACTCTCTCCCTAGGTAACCTCATCTAATCCATGGCTTTAAAGTAGCCATCTACGAGTAAACATTAGCTAGACTTATTGTGGTGATCATTTTGCAATATATATAAATACAGAATCATTATGTTGTACCACTGAAACTAATATAATGTTGTATGTCAGTAATACCTCAGTTAAAAATAAATAAGGCGGCCATCTATGCATTGATTAGTTCTTGTGGTAGCCTCCAAGATGGTCCCAATGACCCTCACCTCTTAGTACTCATGCCCCTGTGTACAGTCCCTTCTCACAATGAACAGAGTAGATTTACTGAACAAGTGACAGTAGGTAACCTTCAACATCAGTTCACAAAAGCGTTTCAGTTCTGGCTTAGTCATAAGATTGCTTCACTTTGGGAGCAGTCAGCTGCCCTTAAGGTTATTCTATGGGGGGGAAACTACCTAAAAAAAAAAAAAAATCAATGATTTCACAAAATTTCCCATCCAAAATCACAGTCTTATTCTGATACTATCTCAATGAAAATATTCGACAGTCTTCGGTTGGCAACGGAAGCATTATATTTCTTATTAAATGTACTTTGCACTACTCTCACTGCCAAGAAATACAATTAGCATAACATCCTTATCGTGAGATTCCAGCCCTTACTCACTAGACCACAAGTCCTAATTCAGTACAGACGTGAAATGTCCTTTTGGACTCAGCCATTAATGAGTTGCAAAAGTGACAGGTCTGTCTTTAAAGAAAGCAACTCATAGTTTAAAAAACAAAAACAACTACAGGATCAGACGACAAAAGATAAACATACTATTTATGCTTACTTTAAAATCTAAAATTTTACCAACACAAATTTTTACTTTTACATGCATTTGTTGTGTGTACAGGCTAGAAAGAAGTATGGAAAATGTTGTTTATATTAACCTGGTATAGTGGTTATCTCCTGGGATTAGCAAGCAGTTTGAAGAATATTTTATTTTTTCTACTGTACATTTTGTAAATGCTTAACAAACTGTGTATATAACTTTGATAACTGAGGTGAAGATGAATTTTAGCTATCCAGAACAAATGGGTTTGCAAGTAGGTCACAATAGGAAGGGAACCATCTGGAAAACAAACCTCGGTTGCCAAAGCTATCATTATTTTTAGGCTTTGCAAGAGCGCCACCTACTGAAATTTTAGGAAATGGATTGTTTAAAAAAACTAGTACAGCCACTATGGAAAACAGTATGGAGGTTCCTCAAAAAATTATTAAGACTGGAGTTACCACATGACCCAGCAACCCCTCTTCTGGATATCTACCTGAAATTTTTGAAAACATTTATTCGCAAAGATATACCCACCCCTATGTTCACTGCAGCATTATTCACAGTGGCCAAGACATGCCTGGATTGCAGGCTTAATCCCCAGTAGGGGGCATGCAGGAGGCAGCTGATTGATGGTTCTCTCTCATCAATGTTTCTCACTCTCCCTCTCCCTTCCTCTCTGTCTAAAATCAATAAAAACATATTTTTTAAGAGTAAATAAATAACTTTTTAAATCTTTTTTTTTAAAGACACACTTATTCATATAAATTTGAATATATGGCTTTTTATAGGGTAGTAAATGTTTCTTATATCTTGGAACTGGATCTAAGATTTAAATGTCATTGTTTAATATTGAAAAACATTAGTGTCTTAATTGAATGCATCCTCTTCATCACTACAGTTTTTTAATAAAAGCTATGGCTGCAACATTCAGCAACCTCTTTATAAAAGGATCTGTGACGACTAGAATTCACAACTGAAAAATAATCACCTGGAGAATAGATAAATTATGGAATATCCACACAACAGAATACAGCATACCAATAAAAATTAAATTAGAAGAATGGAACTACAAACACAAAAAACACCATGGATGAATTTCAAGACCATTATTCTGAACAATGGACACCAGACTCACAAGAATACATACTGTGTGATTCCATTTATATGGAACTCTAGGAAAAACAAACCTAATCTATAGTGACGCAAAGAAAATTAGTGGCTGCCTGGTCTGAAACTGGTTGAGAAGTGGGGGGTTCACTGATGACCTGGGACGAGTCACAGGAGAACTTTTACAACGGATGAAAATGTTCTATATCTTGATTATGGTAATGGTTACATGGGTATATCCATTTGCCAAAACTCTTCAAACTGTACACTCATGATGGGTACATTTTATTGTATGTAAATCATACATCATGAAGTTCATTTTAAAAGGATAATAATAACTGGCTAGTCTGTCTTCATGACAATGCTGTGTTGAACATGAAGAGGGAAGGTAGGATAATCAATGGTGTGCTAGGATGGGTTTGCACCTGCTCTTGAGTGATAATTGACAGATATTCAGGAATTTTTTCAATCAGGCTATTAAGCCATTGGTAGCTTGATATTGGCCATGATGGGAATATTTATACTATGGAACTCGAGCTCTATTTATGTACCTCCAGGAGAGCTGGTTTCCACCAGCAAGCCAGTGAGCACAGTAGTTAAGAACACAGATGCGGAGGCGGACTGCCTCCGTTTGGGGTCCAGCCCTTCCATTTTCCACTGGTTCTATTTACCTCTCTGTTCTTCAGTTCAAATTAAATAGACTGTAAATTTTAGTTGCTAAAAGATATCATGGTGAATGTTTCACTATACATATATTCTTAAAGAAATGCAATTTTTCTTCAAAATCCTGAAAACAGACCTTAGGAGCAAACCTTTACATAAACCATATTAATAGAACAGTACACAGAGAAGTAGTACAGTCTAACAGATAGAAACTGGATGGTATTTCAGGCTTCGCCCAGTGAGTCATTATTTTACTCAGAACGAGTTACTCAACTTGAGATGATTCATCTTTGACAAAAAGACAATAGTAATATGCATAATCACATTAGAATCCTCATTAAAAACACCATAAACACAGGGCACTATGAGCCTGGCTGGTCAGAATATGTTCATTTGAGTTATTGGCTTGGAACCCACCTCCTACAGTTACATATACATGCAGTTTCTGCTAAGAAAAGTATGTCCCTTTTGAAATAGTTCATTTACTTACAAATACCATGGGACTTTTTTTTTTTTTCTGATTGATTTTAGAAAGAGGGGAAGGGAGAGGGAGAGAGAAAAAGAGGGAGATTGAGATTTGTTGTTCCACTCATTCACGCATTCATTGGTTGCTTCTCGTTTGTGCCCTGACTGGGGATCCAACCAACCACCCACCTTGGTGTAGCAGGACAACACTCTAACCAACTGAGCAACCCCACTGGGGCCCATGGGATTTTTTTTAATCACTTAAGGCTGCAACCTCACATTTCAAGTGGACAGAACTGCAAATTCAACATTTTTTAACCAGATGAAGTGTAATTTTTACTTTTAAAAAAAAATTCAGTTGGTATATTTATATACACATGTGGGGCATTACATACTCATTTATTTGTGCATTCATTCATTCAACAAATATTTATTTAGCACCAACTATATGTAAGTCTTTACATAGTCTGTTGAAAATAACCTCAGCTTTTATGAACTAAAATTAGATGCATGATAAAGCTTTATACATTTTTGTTGCATTGGTGCAAATGAAATAAGGTAAGTCATCATCATTTTTTATTGCAAAACTGTCATGGCTCCACATGCGGTATATGCTGATTATTTAACAAAGGTGTAAGGGGGCTCCTTTTGGAAGATATGACACCTCCTCATTCATTTTTATGAGTTTTATAAGTTTTATAAAGGGGTAACCCATACTGTTAAACAGATATTTATTTACAGGGCATATTCTTAAATTATGATGCTCTTAAATGTTTAATTATATTTTATATTACATTTCTCGTGATATAAAAGTACCTTCAAGGTACTTTAAGATGTTTTCACTGCACACATATTTTGAACAACTTTATGTGCTAATTCTGGATGGTAGAGTAATGTTAAATTTCCCTCTTATCTAAAAAGTGACTAAGTAGGCTGATAAATAATAAGATAAATTTTCATCATTTTTTTAAAAACAAAATATACAATCCACATCTCAGCAACAGATAACCCTGGAACAAAAACTGCAGAATTAGATCCAGGCCAATAAGAATTCATTCCTCAGTGGTGTTACAGATAAAGCAGAACAATGAATTCTAGTTTCCCTGTCTCATTAATCAGAGGCTGGGGGTAAGGAAAAGGCCTCTGGGGATGATGTGAATGTGGGAGGATTTGACTCAGTTCTCCACAGGAATCTTCAGTGGAAAATCTCCCTCCCCTATGTGACTCTGGGAGGTGTTTTTACAGCTTCTAGAGCTGGAAGACGCAAGGAGAACTGAATGCTAACCAGTGGGAAGGTGAGAATCGCTCTAGGGGAAGGTAGGTGTCAGCAGGGAGGGGAACCCAGTGAACACTTTAGTCATCGTTATCATCACTGTCACCTCCAGGGTGCACAGGGAACAGATGCGTGGCAGAGGAGATGATTCCTGAGGAGTTAAAGGGCAACATAATATTGTAATTCCCAAGATACAGAGCTAGGACAGTAGGTTACATAATTATTTGCTGATTTATCCAGAGGGAGATTTTTTAACTGCACTTTCCAAAGTACTGGCACTCTGAAAACCTAACCATTCCAAAAATTTGCACTCTGCATCATAAAATACTTGCTATATACCCATATCATAATAACCTGACTGTTTAAGATGTTATGGATCATTTAATTTATGTTTGGTTTGGTCAGTAAAATCACGAAAAAGAAAGCATTATTTTAACAAATTTACAAATTCAGTCAAACTGGACTTAAGCTTAACAGTCTGAGAAAAGTTATTCTACCATCAATGTTGGTCTAAAAATCCTTCAACTGTAACTTTTTAACTAGGTCAAGATCCAGGTCTCCTGAATCCATCAGTGTATTTATTCACTCATTCAACAAATGGTCTAAACGCATCCTGGCCATATCTGGCATCTCGCCTCCTAAATATCTGTGATCTAATTACTCTTCTCCATGTCC